AGAAAAGTAACCACCAGTGTTGTAGTACTCAAATTGGTTTTAGTCTCTAGACCGGTCTTTAGACAAATATATTATATATGTGTGTGTGTGTGTGTATAAGTGTACCATGAGAAATGTCTTGATAAAATAATCAAAAGGCTTTGCAGAGGTGAATTCTATGTGTGAGTAGTTTAGAGATATCCCCGCAGCTGTGGTTGACTGGTCTTGAAGTAAAGTCCAGAGTTCTTTTTGTCTGAGATCGAGACAAGGTCGAGTAAACGTGGTCGATTCCGAGGCGAGACTGAGACCCTAAAAAAAGTGGTCTCATGACCGGTCTCGAGACTAAAACCAATTTGAGTACTACAACACTGGTGGTTACTTTTCTCTGCTGGATGTGCGTTTACAGTCTGTAACATGTAATCTGCCCTTGTCTCACAGCAAGTCCTGATTCACAGTGAGAAACCTTCAGACGACATGAGTGTTACGGTTGTTCCCCAGAGTCCTGAGAGTGAACAGGAGCCATCCAATCTGCCCGACTGTGTCCCCCTGGAAATCAAGAGTGAGTGTATTTTACATAGCAGCAGCACATGGTCCTGACCAATAGTCCAGTGTGTTTCAGCTCAAACAAAACTTTTGTACTAACTCTTATCTCTTCCCCTCAACACCCTCCTCCCCTCTCCTCCTTCCCTTCCACAGTCCCTGACCTGATCTACACTGTGCTGGATCTGGTTCCCGTGCTGCAGATGAAGCAGCTGGTGCGGTTTCTCGGTGTGAAGGATACAGAGATCGAACAAGCAGAGATGGATCACCGATCCTGCCGCGAGGCTCACTACCAGATGCTGAGGGTGTGGGCAGAGACAGGGTCACGTGGAGGAGGTCGAGGTAGAATGCTGCACTGGCCCTTGTTGCACGAGTTGTTGGACAAACTGAGAAAGATACACCTGGGACAGGCAGCCGAGGAGCTGGAGACAAAGTACGGCATTCAGTAATTCAGCAACGTGTGCCAAACAAAGAGCTTATGAAACCAAGTATTGTTCTCTTTAGAGACTCACTCACGGGCAGCCTCAAAGCGCACAAACGGACACAGTGCTTCCACCAGCAGTTTTATTTCACAGAAACCAGCGTCACTGAGCACTCTAACTCTCCAATCACTCGCTGAGAAGACAGGATCAAACTACTGAGAGCGACAGAGCTAATGATTCACGGAGGGAGATTCAAAGAACTTATAGCCATGTTTTTTAAGGGAATAATAAGACATTTGGGAACTAGCTTTTTGACTTTGTTGTACAGAGTTAGGTGAGAAGATTGATACCGCTCTTATTTCTGTATGGTAAATATGAACCTACAACCAGCAGCTGGTGAGCTTACCTTACCACAAAGACTAAAATCAAGAAAACAGTTGGCCTGGCTTTGTCCCAAGGTAACAAAACCGGCCTACCAACACCTTCAAAGCTCACTAATTTGTGTGTTTTGTCTTGTTTGTTTTAAAGTGTAAAAATTCCAACTTGCTGTTTGCAGGGGGTTATATTCTGTAACACTGGACTACGTCTCGTCTGGGAACAGTAACTTCCTGGAGTCTCTGCTGGATGCCTACTGCTCCTCTGGCTTACTCTCCAAGCTAAAAAGTGTATAAACTATTCTTTTAAGACCTTCGTGACTGCAGAGTTACATACTGGAACTGTTTCTTGTTTCTGGGGGCAGTGAGTTATAGAGGTGGAGGGGTCTTTGGATATATTGGGGGATTAAGAGGTCTTTCATGATTTCATTCTGGACTGAACATTGCAAAAATTTTGTTTTCTGTTTGTTTTTTTTCATTTTGGAGAAGTGCAAAATCAAATCCTGACTATTCAGTCCGTGCCACAAGGTTAACTGGTAATGTTTTAATAGTAGTTCCTTGTTAGATTGTTTTAAACAGTTCAAGTATTCTTTGTTAAGAATTTATGGGAACAAAAACAAAACCAGGGAAGTTTGTAGTTCCTGGTGTAGACCAGAGCCCAGTCACTTCTCACAGGCTTTTCCCAGCCCCATGTGCATTCTTTTAAGCCCCATCACACACACGCATTATTCATTACGGTTAGAGAAAACAGAACACGCCTCGTCTCAGTCTGCCTCAGCCAAGTCCTCTTTTCTTATACCAGTCTGGGCCTGCAGATTCAGATATGAATCAGTCACACTCAGAAAGACCGATGACGTGTTATTCCACTGCACTTTTATCCTGTATCAAACTGTATTGTATATCTCAACGATTCATTGAGTCCACAGTCCAGTACATAAAATGTCTTGTGTTGATATCTGGACCTTAAATAAATGTATCTTGGTATCGCTATCTGTGTATCTGAATCGTGCCATACATTTGCAGCCACTAATAGGCAGAGAGTGAATGTTTGTGGATAAAGAGTTAATGAGAAGAAGTGTTTGAGGATGTGATAGTGTATTTAACCTCAGGCAGGCAGCCAGCCTGAAGCTTTAAATATTTAATCACATTCATAACAGCATATTTCCTGCTATATGTTCAAATACCTGGCCTGAAGTTTTCATCTTTTTCTTTCCTGTAGCTGCATTCTTTTAGCTTGTCTACTTCCACATAAGTCACCTCTTCTTACCTGCCAACACTGCTCTGCTTTCCATTTTACTGTGCTATCAAACACCAGATTGTCATGGTTGATTTCATATCAATGCCTCTCTTTCTGTTGTGTGATGAGCAAAAAAAAACAACTGCTGCTGAAGACCTTTATTCACCTCCTTAAAATGATTTCCCCCTGTTTGCTCAGAGTGATCAATACGCCTGATTGACATGAAACAACAATAGACCATCCTCAAAGAAATCATTCACCACCTTCGCCCAACTAAGCACTCCTCAGCACCGATTTGTTGGCTGCAGAATCCAGTTGTTCCCGTCGGGCCAGTTGCAGAGGGCACGGGTGCAGGTAAAGGGAAGAGAGGGAGGGACTGCTCCAGGCAGAGAGAAAGAGGAGGACAAAGCTAATGTAACCAAAGATGACTGTGTGAAACAAAATGGATCCAACCAAGCCCAGGTACAGTCTATCATTTTTGTTAATTAAAAACCAAAGCTGGTTGTGTTTGAGAGTGAGAGTGTGCCATACTAATGAGGATCATTTGACTTGATATCTTCACTGCAGTAAATCTCTTTCACGTTGGAGCTGCTGTGTTGATCCACGGACTGTCCTTTCGGCTTTTGTTTTGTTGTTTTTCCTGAGGCTATAAAACAACCAGTAAGCCTGTTTTTACGGACTTATTATCAATCTTTGAATGGGATCAAGTGGTACAATTGCAAAAATAATCTACTTTTATCTTTATGGTGTTACTGGGATACAGACAGTGATTGTTAACAGGTATGACACAGTGACGAAAGCACTTGCGTCTGCCCTTTAATGTTCTGACAGTATAGCATTAGTGCAGTGAATCTGTCTGCAGTGTGTTTGCTTTTAGACTAACTTCTAAAACCTGTATGATTATGATTGTGAATACCAGTTACAGCAGTAATCACTCTGCACTTATGTATGTATCATTTTTAAGCAACAGCAGTGACTTAGCAGTGTATTAATATGGCACTTCTCTATTTACTACATCAATAGAAGGGGGAATAATTCATTAAGATACAGTAGCTTCCAGAGAAAGAGACACATTCTTTGCTGTAACTTAAATCTGCAGCAGGACATATGACAAATTGTGATGATGTTGGATTTATGGGAACTAATGTCAGACGAGTCCTGGAGGTATACTACGACCTGCACGGCTGTGTAACTTGAGCTGCAGCCGTGTGAAACTGTTGGTGTCCTCTTAAATCAGCATCACTGTCTGTAAGATGCAACAGTATCTCACAGATTTCTGTGTTTTTAACAGCCTGGTTACCTGCTAAGGAGAACCATGAGTCAATGATGCCTAAATCACTAATACATGAAGGAAGACACAGCGTTATTAGTGCTATTTAATATATAATAATACAAATTATATATAATTGTGCAATAAAACATTTGCACAGGAAGCTGAAACGATCTGACTATTGCAATATTCTCAAGGAATTGAATATCTAAAGGTTTCATTGTTTTAATTCAATTTGCTGATATTGAACTCATCCATAAATGCCTCAACAAACGGGCTCCGTGGGTGCTCAGCTGACAACTGCAAAGTGCACTTCCGTAAATCTTTATTTGGACAGACGTCTTTTTCTGTTCGGGGATCAACATGTGGAACTCAAACTGGACCATCACTGGGATCATTTTAAATACGTTGAAGCAGTTTTTAAAGAGTGACCATCATGTATTTATGAATGATCTGGTGCTTGTTATTTCTTTATATCATTATGTGTTTATTTTCCCTGTTTTGTATGTTTTTTTTAGTCTTCAGTTTTATGTATTTTAAAACCAATGTAGGCATTGCAAACTAGCAGAGCAGAGTACTATGGAAATAAACATTAAATGACGTATAAAACCGCTTTAAACCGGTTCCAGAAAGGTTTTAAAAGACAAACTGATCCCTTTGTTTGTAATAATTCAGCTTTTGTTGCCAGATGTGTTTGTTTACCTAGTATTTGTAATGCTTTAACCCTGTAAAGAAAGTCTAAGTAACCCTTTAAAATGATAACAAACTACACAATGCCCTTCCATTCTTCCTTCCACTCTCTATGCCTCTCTGGTAAAGCCTTTTATTGTAACAAACTATTCTCCTTGGTGTCCTTACACGCCTTATTTTGGCAATTAGTAACCCTGTGTGTTTATCTTCAGCCTTTCCTCAAAGGCACCGCATGTAAACAACCGTGGGGGAAATGAATCATTGATGGGAGAACCATCGGTGCCATGGCGAGACAGTGTGGACAGGGAGAGGCAGAGGGACACAGAAACCAGAGATTCAGACGTTGATGGGACGACAGCAGCTGCAGAGATAAACCATCACCACAAGGGGTCAGCAGACAAAAACAAGTTCAATACGTTCAGCTATCAGGCAAGTGAAATGGAACAGGAAGTATTGACATTACCAGTGGTGGAATGTAACTAAGTATTTACTCAAGTTCAATACTTAATTGCAGCTTTGAGCTACTTGTATTTCCCTTGTGTATTTCCTTTTATGCTACTTTATACATCTACTTCACTTTTCAGAGAGGGAAGTGTTGCACTTTTACATCACTACCTTTATCTTATCTCTTACTGATGCACTGTTCAGTGAAAACAAACTCCCTCTCATGAAGTCTTTATAGTCTGGGATTGAAAGGGGCCATTTGCCATAAACAGAACTTTTACTTGTGTTGCTTGATAACACTTCTGTACTTTTACCTCAGTAAGATTTTGAATGCAGGGCGTTTACTTCACATTGAGTATAAGGTGTCCAAGTGCTTAAAACAACTAGGAAATTCAGAGGAAATGTATGTTACAGTATCAGTGACACTGAGTACTGCTCAGCTGTAAAACACAAATCATGGGTACAGATGCATATAGTCCAGATTCATCTCTTGCTCACTTTCTTTCTTATCTTAGGGATGTGTGTTGAAATAACCTTCAAAATGCACAACTTGAAAATTGTATTTTCCCTCTCCAGAGGCGGGCAAAGCAGAAGGGCGTGACTGACTTAGCAACAGTGAGTAAGGGACCGTCTGCAGTAGCCAAACCCAGAGCTGCAATGAGACAGGTCCTGTTCAGCCAGGGAGTTCCTGAAAAGAACCCGGCATCTGAGGTATTATGTTGTCTCCTGCTCATCACACTACATGGTGACATGCTTAGAAACAGATAAAGACTTTCTTTAACTGTAAAACACTCAAACAACTGCTGCAGCACTTCTTGTTCTGCTCCGTTGGCATACTTTTGAATGTAACGTCTTACTGCAAGTATTCACAACAACTGTTAAAGATCACTTCTAAGAAATTGCTGATTCATTAGGTCATCAAAGCTTTCTATTTTTTCTCCCTGACTTCTGTATCTTTCTACCTTCTTATTTCTGTCCTTTCTGTCTTTAACAACTCCTCAGGAGCGAGGTCAGGTGGATGTGTTGAAGCAGGAGCTGGGAGCCTTTGCTGTCCCCATCAATCTTAAGTGGAGATGGAAGGAAGAAAGTCAAGGAACTACACTGGAGAAGAGCTGGACAGATATAGTGCACTCTCATTCAGTATGAGCCCATAATTAATTACTCAACAATATTTTGAGCTTCTCTCAATGTGAACAAATCACATGAAAAGACCAAAACCAACAAGGAATTGATCCTACTAACAACTGATATATGGTAGTTTATCCCTCTGTGCCATAGCGATCCAGTTTTGTGGGTGACATATTCCTTCATTACCATGAACACGGGCACTTTAGTGTATTTGAGTCAATCGCACATGATCCATCCTGTTGCTGTAAATACTTCATCAGATCCCCAGCTGAAAATAGTCCCCAACAAATGCAATATAAACTTCTGTTTGAGTAGCATTTGCTAAAAACTTGCAGTGTCCAGCTGTGCTTTTTTCTTTTTATATAAAGGTACACTTTTAATTACCTGTTTTTAAAGATGTATGTCTATTATAGGAATGAGTAGGCCGTAGAGATCCAGACAATCTGGGGAAGTGGGAAATAATTGAGAGATTAACTTTGTTTTCTTCATTGGATTTGTGGACAATGAGAAATATATAGACTTGTCATATCCTTGAAATGCTCCTGGACTTGCTGTAAAATACCTGCTCAGTATGTAAATTGTACAGATTCTTGAAGCATCTGTAATAATCATCTCCTTTCCCTCTTCTCTCCTCTGTCTTGTTTTTATGATCAGACGATGTCTAAGATGCAGAGACACCAACAGGAGGCGCTGTGGGAGTTTGTCTATACCGAGCTCACCTACATCAACAAAATAATTATCATCAAAGACGTAATGTGTCACTCTCTACCTGCTGTCACAGTCTCATTTAAATGACCTATTTATATTAACATACAGTGTGTCAGAGCTGAAGGGATTTTCCACAGGATGTTTACCAAAGCTGTGTCTTCTTCTCACAGTTGGTTATTGCAGCTCTTGTCAACCTCCACCAGCATGGATTTCTCCTGGAGGTCAGTCTGCAGAGCAGCCTCATCTACACTGTACATACACAAAATCTGCAGGCCTATATTACACTGTTCTGCATACCACAGCCATACATTGATTGGCACAACAAGAACATCCGCTCTTGCTGACACAGCATACAACACACAAGTGGAAAATGTAGCACAGCAACCGATTTCCATTGAGAAGACGGAAAATATGTCAAAGCAGGGGAGTTCAACTTTAACACAATGATGTTTTATTTGTCTTTCCTTCCTCCTCTGACAGGTGACCCCTGAACTACTTTTCTCTAATATTGCCTCCGTCCTCACTGCACACCAGCTGTTCTGGCAGGAGATGATTTATCCCATGTTACAAGAAGTCCGGAGGACAGGCAAGCCCTTTGACCCCATGTTGTTAGAGGCTGGTTGCCTGCAGGTAGGAACTCACTGTCTGCAACATACGTACATTACAAACACATTTAAAATTGTGCTTCTGCCTGTCAGTAGTACATTTACTCAATTCATTTACTTACTGACTGTATTGTGTTGAGGTATTTAGATTTTCTCTACTACATTTCACAGGGAAATATTGAACTTTTTACCCCAGTTAATTTATGTGGCAGATAAAGTTACCAGTTATTTTGTGTAGGTAGATTATAAAATTACCCAACAGCATGTGAAATAGTTAAAACATACCTACAACAATACTATATTACTAGTTAAAGGGTTATCGTGCATTTTTAAAGAAAGTCTGGAAGGATGAAATAATCATTTTCATTCTCTCCATTGCATAAATATCATATACGTCAACACTAGGGATTTCTTTCAGATTTCTTTCTCCAGCCATTTCTTAGTGAAACATGTCTTAACAAGCCTCCAGTAGCGTTCTCAGTAAGTATTCAGGTTTCTCCAACTCCCTCAGGTACATCAGCTCAAAACTAAAAATCATGTTTTTGATGTTACAATAGACTCAGTGTCTTTGTTCTCACATAATCTCCCACAATCAATGTCATCTTAATATGCTTATGAGAGTTATCCACACTCCACATTGTCAGACCGTTTTTATAATAAGATCAAAATCAATGAACCAGAGATACGTCCTTTGTTTATTCCATGCATTCTTCTTTCCTCTGCATGTATTACCCACAATGCAACTTGACTGTGGACAGTTTGGTTGAAGGTACAGGTGTGGTGTTCTTTGTTGACATATGCAGTTGTTCTTGGTGGAGTTCATCTTTAAAGTTGACATGTAATGAAAAATTCCTTTGTGACCCTTTTAGATCACATACTTGATCACATTATGCACCAATTTAACAATATGCCAATAAATATAGTGTGCTTACGTAAGCTAGTACCAACCAATTTCAACCATTAATGACATCCATCCATCAATCTGTAACCTTCCATCAAATGTAGTTGTTTTTTTCAACATTGGCATTAATCATACTTTTCTTTTTGACCCCAGTTCCACGAGTGCTTCTCTTCTTATCAGCATTACTGTTCGGAGGAGGAAAACAATCTGGAGTTTACACGCAGGCAGATGCAGGGCAACCCACATTTCCTCAGTTATGTTCAGGTACAGAAAGCAGCAGACATCAAATATGCACGACATACACACAAACACTCTGCATGTGAGGATGAAAACACACACAAGTGTACTGACTTACTCAACCACACAAACCCTATTATTGCCACTGATAGGGCTTGAATGGAATTCAATGTAATGACTTATACTGTTCTAATGTTAATGGTGACACTGTGTGGCTGTGATGTTTTCATAACCCTGTGGGCGACCTGTCACAGTCAGCTCCTGACGGCCGACCACTTGTCACACGAACATTTTCTCCAAATGATTCAGACTTAACAGCGCCTTATATTTCTTGTCCATAAAACTGAGAGGAGGACATTTATTGGAGTAGTGACTTTAAGACAAGTGTGTCCTGCAGCAGATACACACAATAGCATTGTGATAGAAACATGGCAGTCTGCAATTAGCAATGCTATCTTGTCTGCTACTGTAAATGTGTTTATTCAACATTTGCTTTTTCACTTATGTCACAGCATCACACTTGTCAACCTGAGTGGGAGGTGATGTTCTTTTGTTTAACAGTTAAAGAGACATTTTACCAGGAAATGGTACTTGGTAGGCGTTAAAGGGTCCGCTCATTCAAATCAAACAAAAAACACATCTCACTTAATTCCTGTGAAAGTTTTTCTTTTGGTAGATATTGTTATACTTGTCAAGGCTTTGAGTTATCAGTCTCCTGCTGCCACTACTCCAATACTGTAGATGTTAATAGAACAATAATGTTGATCAAGGTAATCCACAGACCCCCTGTGAATTAGTTGGGAACTATTTTCTATCAAAACTGGTAAAAACTCTCCACATTACAGATTATAGCGTAATTGGGACATTGCCTATGGAAAGATAAGTTGATCTTGAGTTTTCAAAGATTAACAAACTTCAACTAGCTTTGAGAAGCACTCACAAATTATTAAATTAATATTAAATTAATTTTAAAGATGAATTAATTCATGGTTGAAAACCACTATGTAATAAAGCCAGTTTCAATCTGAACCACTGACTTGAGGGCAATGTTCTTCTGTTTTGGTCCTGTCCAGTGGGTGGAGACTCACCCTCAGTGTGAGCGGATGCGGCTCGGGGACATGCAGGTCAAACCCCATCAGAGGATCACAAAGTATCCTCTGCTTCTCAAGGCCGTGCTAAAAAACACCCAGGATCCTCATGAACAGCACACACTCAGACGCATGGTACTAACTGCTTCTTGTTCAACATTTTGTCTTCTGTAAAAAAAGCTTATCTTGACTTCTGTTACAGGGGCTGCAACTTTAATATCAGAATTTACACTTATCAGTGCAGCATGAGCATACAGAAACCATAATTGTAACTGAAATGGCTCAAAAGCTACATTTGTATCATTATTTATTGTGTCGAACAAATCTGTTCAATATCAAAAAGTGTTATCCGAAATCTGGCTCTTGGGTAAAATTTTCTTGCTAAAAGGTTTGTTTTTCCTACTTAAATTATGGAATGAAATAGGAACTTTTAAATTGCCAAAGCTCTTCAATTTAGCACAAAGTATTTTCTGCAGAACAAAACTCCCACCAACCATCTTATTCTTTCTCCCCTCCAGGTATCCAGTGTAAACACTTTTTTGCAGAGCATCAATGACCACCTGAAACTAAAAGATGAGAAACACGCTCTCAATATTTCTGCTCAGAGGGTGGAGGGATACGAGGTGGAGCGCATAAATGAAGATATCGACAAGGTAAAATAGGACAGTTTCCTTTCTCTGACAATACTGAACATTATAGATTTCTGCCAAAATAAACTGATATTCCCTCTAATATGTTGTGCAATTTACAGCATGTCCGAGAGATTTGTCAGTTTGACCTAACATGCCCCATCAGAGGAGTAGGTCCTAAAGTCGTACGCAAGCTTCTGCTGGAGGAGAACTTGAAGATTCGGGAGAGAAAAGACAGCAAGGTGAGCAGAGCCAGTGTGCGCAATTACTGTTATTCCACTGAATCTCTTGTCACTGCTTTTTTGACTTTCTCATGTTTCCTCGCACATGGTACGGTGCAGCTCGAAGTGGTGGCACTACTTTTCTCAGATGTTCTTCTAATGACCAAAGTCCAGAAGAAAGGAGAGCGACTGAAGGTAGTTCGACCTCCTCTGGCCCTCGACAGAACTTTTTGCATCACACTGAAAGATGGCTGTGAGTGACACTTTTTTATGGACAAAAAGACAGCTGGATTTTGTATAAATATATTATAGATCCCATTATCATTTCTCCTCCTCCTCTCTCAGGTTCATTTGTTCTCGTGGAGGTAGGTGAGCTTCGGAGTGCTATGAATGTCTACATATTTGCAGCCAGTACCTCAGAGAGCTGCTCCGCATGGGTCTCCACCATCAACCAGGCGAAGGTAAAAACTGACATCCCTGACCAAATCTTTTGAAATGATAGAAGTCCAATTGAACTTGCTGCCACGCTAGCAGCGTGGCTCTAGGGTCAGCTGTGTCGGTCCATCATGACTTTTCCTCTAGCACCACCAGGAGGTTCACATTTGTGATTTTGAATGAAATGTTTGTACAACTGTTATGTTACAGTGAACATTATACCTGCTAAACATCAGCAATCATGTTAGCATACTGATGTTAGCATTTAGCTCTGTGTCTAAGTACAGCCTCACAGAGCCACTAGCATGACTGTAGTAGAGATTTAATGTTGGTATTTGAAACAGAATTGCATATAACATACTCATTCATTCGTTTTTGTCTATATTATATTGTCAGGAAACACTGTGGAACTTGAGACAGACTGAGAGTAACAGACAACTGGAGAATTGGACAATCCGGCAGCTGGAGGCCAAACCTGTCACAGAAGCCAAGACGGATGATTTGGAGACAGAAGAACAACCTCTTACGCAATCAGGAGGAGGGACTTTTGTGGATGAACTTACTGAAGAACCTATTATCCCCCAATCAATAAATGGGATGTTGGCCTCTAAAGAAGCAGAGGAACAGTATCAACCTCCAGATGGTGTGACCACGAACAATCCTGTTTTATCTTTATGGCACTCCCAGCCAAACGTCAATAACCATAAACTAGCTAGTCGGCAACAAGCAGTCAATGGATACGAATGGATAGAAATGGGAGTGAGAGGAGACAAAATCGGAATCCACAGAGAGGAAGAAGAGAAAAGGGGGCAAAGAGTGTGGAACCACAGGGTACAATCTGCCCCTAATCTGGATAATTTCAGTCATAGTATTACAGCTGATCCATTACGAGACAATACTACTGGACCACCTGCTGTCTTATATCCAGATGTTGACTATCCAACAGAGGAAGAAAGTACTATAGACCCTCCTGGCCAACCAGCAGTATTTAGGGAGGAGCCTGGATATTTAGGACTACCACAAGAGGGAGGAATATCAACAAATAGGGACTCAGATTCCCAGTCTGTGAACCAGGACTCCAGGAGAAATTCTGACTACAGCCAGTCTGGAGACATGGAGACATCTCCAGAGGCTTGGGGTTGTTCCAAAAATTTGAAGTCACCCGGGTTACGCAGGAAGAGGCTAAACAACACCCATCAAGGCCCCTCTTCTCAGATGTCTAATCAATTCTTCCAGGGCTCAGGACAGACAAAAAGCTTATTTTTCTCCAACTCAAATAGCCACCTGAAAAGAAACACTCATCCATCTGGCTCAGAGTCACATCGGGTGCTTAAGCTGGGCTCCCTGAAGCCTAACCAAGGGATATTTTTGAACATGCATGATAGAGTCTCTCCAGAACCCCAAACAATGTCTGAATCTGAGCTTCCTGATTGTAACGTCGATAACAGAGTGAAAACCCGAAGGAGGGCCTCTATTCCTAACATCATCATTGAAGGAACCCATGGACTTGGCCTGCACACCAGTCTGTACACGTTACCCCAAGCAAAGGATGCACCTTTCACAAAACCAAACGGAAACCACTCGGCTCTGGAGGGTCTTTTGGTAAGAGCCAAAGAGAGGAATGGATTCAAAAGAGACAGAAATGTGAAAAAGGCCAATTTCAGTTCAGGGATTTCTCCTTCTCCCTCATTTTCCACCACACCATCCCCATCGCCCAGTGATGGAGACAGAGACACAGAGTGGGCGGTGGAGCTGATAAGACACAGAGCCCCCACAGTGAGTAAAGGATGGAAGGAGCAGCTGGTGGACGGAGATGAAGATGACAAGAGAAACAGGTTCGTTTGACAGTGTCCTTTATATTCACGTTTTTTGTTGCTGGACAATATTGACATATTGTTGGGGTGATGTATGGATTCGATTTTGAATCCTGAAGGAAAAAGTTTCTTTTGCACAGTAAAAAGCAAAAGAGACACAACTTAGACCAGTCAAAACAATTGACATATGAACGACGTACGCACACTACAATACAAACAAAAACACAAACTATCACATTTCCAAGACAATTCCAAGAATTACAGTCGTTCAGGAGCCAACCAAGCAATAAATACAATTAATCAATCAATTAATAAAAGTAAATTTGTCAAAAAAACTGATGCACCTTCAGGAAGAACAATGAAGTAGGCAATAAATGTGAAACTAAAGCTTTAAAAGAAATTCAAAAATACCTCCAGTATCAGAGAAACTATGCACTTCTTTCATAAAGTTGACTTAAAAGTGGCAAATAATGTTATTTTCACAATTACGACATTAGCAGTCTCAATGTTTGTACCACAGATCAAGCATATGTCTGGATGATGTAGAGCAGGGGTCTTCAACGTTTTTCAGGCCAAGGACCCCCAAACTGGTAGAGAGATGGAGCAGGGACCCCCGACTATATATATTGTATAAAATTGTGTTTTATATTAAATGGGCCTAGTACCGTGCATACCTCTTTATTGTGCATTCAATACTAAGCTATTCAAATAATACACAGGTTCATATATTCATGTTTTTATTTTAAACATGTGCAAGGTACAGTGAGTAGGGTGGCCGTGCCACTGCCATTTACAAACATACCTTGTCAGCTGATACCAATGCCAATGTCAACATTGTCTGTCGATTGCATGATAATCATACAAGCTATTCAAATTGACGTTTTTATTTTAAACATAAATGTGGAAACGATAAATTAGTGATGGCCTATTAGTGCCACTGCTATGCATAAAGATATGTTATCTTTCATACAATACTGAACTATTAAAATAATGGAAAGATTCGTGTTTAGAGAAAAAAAAAATGATTTTTTTTTTTTTTTTTTTTTAATTGTCTAACCAACCAAAAATTTCGCGGACCCCCTGTTGAAGACCTCTGATGTAGAGCAAGTAAAGCCTCGAAAGCCACAGTTTAGCACAACAAAACAGCTGAAGGATTTAATAACATGTGTTAGTCATTCACCTTGTGGTCTTTTTTAATCATTTTTTTCCAAATTAAGAAAATTGACCCATCAGTCTGTATTCTGCATGCTACTGTTATTTCTTTACATGCTGAATTTTCAGAACATCAAGTTCTTATTTGCTCCAGTTTTAGAAACATACAACAATAAAAGATTATATTAGAAAATTATTATTAAAAAAAAGAAAAACTATAATTTATGATAATATGTATTTTGCACTTAAATAAAAGGCACAGTATACACATTGATACGTTGTTCTGTGTTGTTTAAATTTAATTGCATTCCCCTTAATTGGGGAATTTATTTTCAAACTGTCGAATCTTAACTATTTCAACCAGTTTTCCGTGTTGAGTAGGCTGGTAATGTTCTGTGATAATGGAAACATAAAATTACGTTTTTCATGTTTCTGACCTCAAACCACCTTAAGTCCTATTAACATGTTGAATATCGTTAAAATCATTTGAATAAGATGTTTTAATATTTTAAATTGTGGATTGTTTACACCACATGACACTTAAACAGTTTCATTGTTTCATTGCTCAATTTTAAATTTCTTAACAGCTTATTTTGTTATTTTCTTCTGATTGAATTACTTCTGCTATCACTATATTCATAAGAGCATTTGTTTTCTGCATGCAGGTGCTTCTTTGGGGTATTTTCTTTCCATTTTCTATTTTTTTAAGTGAAAAGGCTTCTTAGTTCTTCTTTAGTTCATGCAGTTATAATACTAAAATTACAATGCATTATCCCTATTTGAGGCAGAGTGACAGCTCTTGGAGGAAGCGTGAATCTGAACACATACCGTATTCAGTAGTAGTGAAAGTACATGCACAGTAAATGTTGTAAAATAATTAATTTTGACCTTCTGTTTCCATCTCTCACCTTCTTTAGTGGTGTCTTTATGGACAGAATAAATGTGGACTGGTCAGGTTGGTGCTTTGATGATGATGAAGTCATGGATCATGTACCCCCTGAAGGCGAAGGGTCTGTGGAGGGCATCCGCCGACCTTTGGATATCACCAGACTTACAGAGCAAGAGGACGGGGAGTGTAGTCAGGTGTAGCTCTGACGCTGCTCGTCAGAGTCCTGCACTGTGTGGATCCAAAACGATACTGCCAACCAACAACCAACTATTGTGCAAAATTAAAAATTCAGTCCGTGAATGTGAACTACAGAGGGCCAAATTAACAAGGACGGTAGGCTTTTTCTTTTTTGTTTAAGGAAAAGCTGAATAGTCTAAAAGACTAAAACAAACATCTTTCCAGCAGTTTAGCAAAATTCTAGTTTTCCGTTGACACAAATGTCTTCAGTCTGAATTTTTGGCCAATAATGATTCTGTAATTAATGTAAAAGTAATGTAGTATATTTTTTTAAATAGTAAAACAACATTTGGTTCGTGTTTGTGTAAATGTAATTAAACATTCTTTTTTTTTATAAATGACTGTATATAAAATGTACATCAGTAATAATTCCCCCTGTCATTGACCTGTAAGTTACAGATTGTATATAATGTAAAAAATAAACCAGATTTATTTCTGTTAAAGGTACTTTATTTGTAAAACATTTTATTCTCAATATGTATATATAAAAACAAATCTTCACATCCAGTAGATAATTGAAAACAGATACAATACAAATAACAGGATAATACACAAAATTTCAAATTCAACAATACTGCTACAATGCCTGCTCTGAAAATACAGTATTTACAAAAATTGTACAAACAGAAGTCAACCAACATATTGCAGATATGAAGGTAGAAGAAGATCACACTTCAGTTTAGTTTCCTGCAATGCCTCTGCTTTAATGTCTCTACATTTTCACTTGGTTTCTTTCTCTCTCCTCCCGCTCATTCGAGACAGTATGAACAATTGTCTCCAGCGCAGGGTACTGAAAGATCCTCTTCCTCTGTGGAAAAAAAGATGCGCAAAATGTAATTAATTTTGTCTGATGTATGAACATGTACATGTATCGCAATATCAATAGGCAATTAATACTTTTTATTCATTTTTGAATACTTAATTTCCCCATTATAATAGAAATCGTTTGATAAGATTTCTTTCAAGCTAAATTTTGGAATGAAGTGACATTTCGAAACAATGACAATAATTTCAAGGTTTTGCATCTTTCATGGGAAAATTAAATATTAGTTACAGAATTGTTTTTGAACAATGGTAAATTTCAGAAGATCTTTACCCTTTGGTGGTTCTTGTACATCTGAGCCAAAACCAACAGCAGAACGAGGAGGAGAAAGCTGAGACCAACCAGGGCAGCAGTGTTATGTGAGACACCCGAAGGTTTCTGTCCCCTAAGACCACCTGTGGGAAAAACAATATAAAGGCACAATATTATATTTTTGCATGGGCATCAATGTAGGAATATTATGAGTATATTCATTTCACACAACAGAAAAATAAAAATAAAATCAAGAGCAGGAAACTTACTCATCAGTTGAATGTGGTATGTTACATTTCCCAAAAGGCTGTGTTTCCCGTAGAAATGACATGCCCATTCGCCCTGGTTCTCCTCGGACACTGTGCTCATACTCAGAGTCTTCCCCTTCTGGATGGACCCAAATGACTGGGTGCCATTGAGGTCATAGACCACATGAACCCACTCATAGTCGATGACCTCGCTGGTGTCTGTCAGTTGGCAGGTCAGCGTCACAGAGCCTGTGTTCTTTGATGGGATGCTGCTGTGAACTGAGAGAAAAACAAGACAATCAAATATAGTGTTGATGGCAAAAACAAAAAAGATTCAGTGGATTATTAAATTTAAACTGAACCCATGTAAGCTTACCTTTGGCAACGACAAGCTGCATATTTCGAGTCAACCGTTGTCCTTCTACGGTGCCAGAGCATCTGTACCTGCCCTCATCCTCAAACTCGACTTCTTTCAAACTGGCAGATTGATCGTAGGGGCGCGGAGAGAACTGCTTGGATGGAGAGAAAGAGGCCGGAAGGGGACCAGGAGCAGGTTTAAAAAGAAACCCAGGTTTCAGTTTCTCCCAGACTGGATTAGAGGGGATCAAACCAGGAGAGAACACACAGGGAAGTGTGACTGCAGATCCCACAGCAGCATACACTTTAGAATGGTCTTTGGATGGGTTGATGACACCTGTAAGAGAAAGGGAGGGAAAGGGGAGAGGTTAAGAGAAAAATGGTAAACCAAACTGAATTTCTAAAGATAATCTCTTTTGCTCAGAGTCTTACCCCTCACGGTCAGAGCTGCCGAAGCTCGCCCCTCTTTGCCCTTGTAGTCCACCACACAGGTCCAGTTTCCCGTCAGTCTCGCCGTTGCCTTTTCCCTCACAACATTTTTACTGGTACCTCTGTTTGAGGCGATTCCAGTTTGAGGCACAAATGGGCTGTTGTTCAATGTCCACAGCACAGAGGCTCCGTGAGGCCAAGGAGTCACGTTACAGCTGATCGAAACAACGTCCCCCCATATGGGAACTGATGACGAGACGGACACTGTAAAGGATACAGGCAGGGATGAGATTATTGACATATATTACAGCTAATTTCTGACACAGATATAACGAGTCATTCGTTTATTTGTGTTAAGTCTGCATTTTTGATTCTGTAATGATTTGTTTACGAATAATAGCAGCTAAAAAACATGAACATCTTTACAAGTTGGTGGAATTACTGTCTTTGCATGCTCAATTGCTGCTTTATCAATTAGTTATTGATTTAAATCTTCGGCACTGATGTAAAAAATTCACCGAGTGGTGAAATCTAGGTTTCAATATGTTTCTTACCTTTAGTGATTCTGAGTGTGACGACTTTTTCAACAACCTCGTCTCCATGTGCCACCGTGCAAGTGTAATCTCCTCCATCCTCCACCCTCACGTCGTTTATTTGCAGGCTGAAATCGCCTCTTTCAAACTGGGAGTGGGGGCATCTAACGCGTTGGGGACCAGCTTTTGGAGACCACCTAGAGCCCCAGTACTGCAGACCATTCCTATCCTTTCTCCAAACAGTGCTGTGGACGGAAGGTGTCACAAACAATCCAGAGTCATCAGCATGTAAATACAAGTTTGGAGTTGAAGGATGGATGGTGAAGCTCAGGAGGGAGGGAGGCAATTTGTGGGATCTGTGGATGTTTGAAGCTGGACAGATGAAATGAAATGGGGAAAAGGATGTAGACAAGCGGAGGTAGCAAACAAAAAGTTGTGTCTTACCCTTTGTCGGCATTACTCCAGATGATGTAGGGGATAAAGGGGTGCGACGGGCTACATTTACAGGGTAGCACAACCTGAGAGCCGGCTTCAGCAAAGACCTCAGTTACCTTACATTGACCACCTGGGGACAAAGAAAAGGATATTCAGTTTAGAAAGTAAATGTGCAAAAGTCGACAATTATTGAGTTAAAAAAAAGTCATATATTTACCTGTCAAAAGAAAGGTAATCACCCCAAAGATGAAATACTCTAATGGCATCTTTTTGTTGGTTTTGTTTTTAATTTATTTGTTATAATGTTTCCACAAATTTCCCTGTAATCTCTAATCCCTGCTTGAACCGCTATCTGCTTTGTTTTCCGCTTTCGACAGTTTTTCTTTGCTTCATGCGTGCCGTCTGATGTGTTTTTGTGAGTTAAGTCGATGAGGTATTTATATGAACCTGTGGGTGCCAAAAGGGGGTGGATTGTTTGGTAGTTCCTCTGCTTATCATGTGACTTCAGCTACAAGTCTGGCTTTGATGCGGTCTGTCTTTGTCAGCCTGGAAACTGTAAGACAAAGATGTAAACAGGGAGATCCACTTCCTCCCACGGATTCTCTCTACATCTTTCCGTTTCCTTCTTCACATCAAATAAATTGTGTAACAATATGTGACATTGTTCAATTTGCAAGCCAAAGCTTACACAAGACACAAGCACAGTATAGGGTAGTGTGTGCATCTTAGACATACTGATATTTATCCCTTAGAATATAATTCCTTTTTAGAAATACCAAGCTCGAATTCAGAGTCAGAATCAGAATCAGAACCGTTTATTTGCCACGGTGTGTTGCACATACTTCAAATTCAAAGGCATTTGACATGGTGTGTGGTGCATTAACATTAAACAATCAACACAGTGCAAAAAATAGAAACATGTTAAAATGTACAATGAAATATAAAATAAAGTGCACTGAGTTGAATTGAGCTGTAAACTACTTTGTAATTATTCTCCACACATGCAATGAATGTTACTTGTTTACAAATCCCTTCAGTATCATTCACGGAAGCTCCAGTTGTTGCTTTGAAACCGAAATGGCAAAACTGCAAACGCCAAACCACCCTGTCACTTCTCATCCGTCACTGCCAGTCACTTGCGTTTACAACCACTGCTTAACGCGCAGCTCTCGACCCAATCATCATCATCATCATCATCATCATCACCACCAGTTTCATGAGAATGAGGCCATTCAGTAATATGGTATCTTCTTCTGATGAACATTCGTGAAAGTGAATCATCACCTCCATGCTCGGTTCTTTGTTTTCCTTTTCGTCAATTCTTATACTGTCGCTGCAGTAGAAACAGGCCTCCACTGCCAGTCAAATGTTTGTTTGATAGCGTGTATTTGAGCATATTTCAAATGCAGTTTATTGTAAATATCTTAAGATTGGAAAAATAAAGGTTGTAGTACCTCAGGCTGTTTTCAATAGTTACCGCCATAATTGATAACTATTTATCCATGATTGGAAACATTCAACGTTATCATTTATAAGGAGTACATAAACATTTGATAAATTGTTTATAACACACTAATGTAGCTGCAAGCAGATATTATATATACATTTGTCAACAACAATAAGTGCTGGTATACAGTATAAACAGACAATATGAATGACAATATAGTACAAATACAGTTGTAACAATTTAAAATAGTTCTACATGGGAAAAGTTATAATTGTTTATTAATACTGTACATAAAAGTGTCCTTATAAGCTGATAACTACATTTTTGATCTCTGTAGTATACTTAACCTGTATAATACACATCTGTACATTCCTGCATTTTACATACCTGTACATACTTGTGTGTTCTGTATATATATGTAGTTCAGATTTAACTGATACTCAATATTTATTTATGCAATGAGGCATTGTGTCATATCAATACAAGTATCAAACAGTCTTGCACTAACCTAGAGTCAGAGTATAGTCCTAGTTTTTAGTTTTTGCTCAGTTTCAGTTAAGATAGTAGTTTGTTTTCATTTCTAATCTACATTCCTCTTTTGTGATTCATAATTAATAAAATACTCTCTACGCATGTAAACCCATCTATCTATGTATGTATGTATGTATGTGTACAGTATGTATGTATCTGTCTGTCTGTCTGTCTACACTTATCTTTAAAAAATATGACACTGATGACATAGAAAAGAAAAGCTATTACTGTGTCAATGAAGTATGGCCTAATAATAACTGTTAATAATAAAAGGTTTGGAAAACCTACTGTATGTAAAAAGCATAGCTAGATAGACACATTGAGGTATAGACCGTCACACAGATGGATAGATACACCTGATGTGGGTGAAACCACAGAGCTGTTTTTCTTCATCTTGAGATGTTTTCCCTGCTCACAGCCATGTGACTGCTGGGTGAGTGATACTGTCAGTCTGAAATCTCAAACCACCCAGAACTTCCTCCTCACCCAAAACAAATTAGAATCTGTGTCGTATTTCTTATTGCTGTGGCTTTAATTTGGTGTTTTCTCACAAAAAGAAAGTTGGTGGCATTCGTGTGTCACTCATTGTGAGGTGGTCTTTCCTACAGCCGATGTTTCGTTACCTCCACTGTATCTGAATAAGAGGTGAAGGCACTTTGAAGGAAAATGCCCCTCACGTGGAAACAACTGAGCTTTGAGCATTAGGGAAAGCAGATGGTTATGTTAATAGAATGAGTTGGAAAATAATCAAATCAGATTGCTTCTGTAGAGGTTTGTCACTACTTTGGTCCTGTGTCAAGCTCTTTTGTATTATATCTGCTTTGAATCAGCATTAACCTTTAATGTGAACATTGCCGCTCCAGACTTTCTGACTTATTGTAAACACTACTGTGGTTTAATTTCAATAACTGATATGATTATATCACGTATGTGTAGGTGATGAAATGTAATGTTCCACTGTGTTTTACTGGCAGAGGAAGCATAGCGCAGATTAAAATCCTGCTGTGCTGAGAATTGTTTTTAATTGTGTTTAGTCAGCATTTTGTTCAGCGCTGTGAAGATGAAGACGGAAACATGACTGTGTATCTGTACATAATAAATGTTTCTTTCTGAATCATGGCATTTGGTGAAATACACTGCCACCTTATCTTTTATTAACTCTTCAACAGATTTTGTTTTCCTGCTGTGGATCAAAAGTATCTCAGCAATCAGAAATCCACTTTTCTAGCAGCACAATCTTTTTAGATTAAAGGTGCAAACACACTGCACAATTACAGTAAGACAGTAACTCTTCTCTGCAGAGGCGATAGCATTGTGGTTATGTTAAAGTTAAATGGAATCTAATGTTGAATAATGTTTTGCCTGGTTTAAATTTCCACACTCTCAATGACGCCTTAGTAATAATGAAATTAAGACAAGGATCGGTTTTGCTGTGCTTGTTTCTTTGAAACTGACAAAATATTCCATCCTGCTTTTTACAACAGTAAGACTGAAAGTATCAGTCTCTCTGTGTGGGTGCGTGTGCGTGTGCGTGCGCGCGTGTGTGTGAGTGTGTGTGTGTGTTTGTGTATGTATGAAGAGAGAGAGAGAGACAGAAAATAACAGCCGAGATGTCTGCAGGTGTTCATGTTTTCATTCGAAACAGCTGATTTATTTGTTGTTGTAATGAAACCCTGCACAGTTCCAACTCTCGACCACTAAATACATTATAACCAGGCCAGATATAAAAAGAATCCCAGCAAATGTAACAAAAATAAATAGTGTATGCACCTTTCTAAGAATAATATATCATTTAAAAATGAGATTGGATCTGAGAGACCTAATCAAAAAGAGATAACATCATTATTTAAAGACACAACTGTACTTGTATAAGCACGTGTATAAAATGTGTCTAATATCTTCACCATGTTATGAAATACTTGGCTTATTTTCTATTTTGCCTCTCTTTTATAGCTAAGCATCACAACAATGCAAGTTAAAACAATAATCTGCTCAAAAAAACATGTGTTTACTGGTCTTCTGGCAGGATTTGTTGAAGTTTGATAGAATAACTCATAAAATACCAGTTGATCTCTGCACACTGTTGTCTGTTTACATTTTTCTGTCGCTCAGGCATTTTTGTTGCCCCACTTGCTTTGTGCCAAGTCCCGCCCAATCGTTCTGTGATTGGCCAGCTACACCTGGCGGACCTGGTCACTGGTCGCTCAGTGCTACGTCACATGTTGATAACCTGTTGATAACCTGTTGATAACCTGTTGATAACGTGTTGATAACGTCCCTTGGAAATATAAAATGTACTGAGAGATTCCAGACTAACTTGCATTTGCAATGTGATGTAGCAATGTCGGACTAGAAACATCTGTCTTTTAATCCTGATCCTGCTAGCAAAATGTTCAGTTTAGTTTGGAATGAGATTCGGTATCGGTGAAGACTGTCTAGTTGTGATTTTAGTGAGTAGTCCTTATGTGACATCGCAGGGGTCGGGCCATCACTCACATGGTATATGTCAAAAACAAGTCATCAGAAAGTTATAGCATAATATGTCTAAAAAAGTAACGGAAATGTCATAGTATATATCTCGAAACAAATTCTGAAAACCCATAATACAGTATTTTGAATTTTTTTTAAAGTCATGGTATAGTAGGTCAAAAAAGTAATTGTATGGTATGTAGAAAAAGGTCATGAAAATCGTAGTATAGAATGTCCAAAAAAGTCATAAAAAAGTCATAGTAAGTCAAAGAAAATCATACAGAAGTGATAGTGTGACTTCTTGGAGACAGCCAACGTGGATTCTTAATTTTCATCCAGGTGCCCTCAGCAGCTGAAATAAATTATATCTGAATTATGAACGTAATAGAAAGCCATCTTTTCTTAAAGCAGGAATTGAACCCCTGTCCTTTAGGGGAATAAGAACTGTTGACCACAACCCCATACAGGATTAGATGATGCATTTGTAAATTACACAAAGATTTCTAAAACAGATTATTGTATTCACACCGCTAAAAAGTGCAGAAAATCCATGTGGTGAACTTCAGAGCCAAAAAAAGAAAATCTGAGAATACATATTTATGAGGCAAGAACTCACAATCTGTCGTGAACATAAAATATTTTGAGCACATTTCCTGGTGAAATGTTGTAAAAACAGTTCCAACACTCTAGGAATTGAACCCAGACTGACTGGTATTATCCCAGAAATGACAGGACACAGTGGGATCTCTGGCTGCTCACACATTAATCCCTGCAGGCTCTCTTTGTTTCTTAACAGCGACATTACACCGGCTTTGTTTCTTGACTTTTACAGCTTTTCAATTTCTCTCAGTAATTTCAGCATGTCTTGTTTCTTTTTAATCTCCCTCCTCTATTCTTTCCATCTCTTTCAACGCACTTAAACATGCTTAGCCCACACTTTGTAACGAAATCAACCTTCTCCCTCCATGTGTGGACCAAACTGTCTTGAAACCTCGGCTAGGATCAAGTGAAGAGGACAAATAATCAGTACTAGAAAATGATACCATCTAAAGAGATTGCAAGGGAGATATGTTGGCATTGTACACTTTACCGGAATCTGTCTTGGCTGATACACAATGCGATAGTGCATCTTAATCATGTCTCATTCAGTCTGGCTCGCCTAATTAACCAATCCTGCTTTAAACAGAGGTTAAGACCTCAATGTCATACAAAGAAATACAGAAATAAATAAATATAGTTGTACCGAAATACATTTGAGATATTCATTCATTCAATGTTCAATTACTTATTCATGCATTTCCATATAATATGTTTCTGTCCTTATTCCAACATCGATATTTATTCTTTTATTAATTTATTTCTATATATTTATTTCTTTATTTTTGTAAACAATTATGTATCCTCTTGGAGATCAGACTGATGTTTTTGGAATGCTTTCTTTTAAGAGAGATTACATTTTTTTAAAGGTTTTATTTATTTATTTTCTGGCTTTTAAATTCAGCCAATCTTAACTTTCCTATGAAGGCTTTTTAATGGGCAACGAGGAAAACCTGGTGAATATTGTGTTTTCCCTCTTTCAACCCTCAGAGGCCTGTTTCATAAAGGTGTCTCTTCTTCTGTACATCCACTGCACTGCTTCATTCACAGCTTTAACTTTACTGAAACTTAATTCTCTCTCTCTCTCTCTCTCTCTCTCTCTCTCTCTCTCCCTCTCTCTCTCTCTCTCTCTCTCTCTCTCTCTCTCTTCTCCTCGCTATAAACTATAAAATCTATCTGTGCTCAGCTGCAGCTGTTACGCGTTAGAGCCCGCCTTCTGGTGGCGCACACTGAGCACTACAATACATAACAGTTGTAGTACAACAAAGAGGAGCCCATTGATATATGAAGCGATTTTGGTCATGTTACACTTATTAACAGTAAAGTTATTGAAAATTATTTTCAATAAAAATTAACTAAAATTAATCAAAATCATATTTTTTCAAAATGACAGTTGTAGTACAACAAGGAGCCCATTGATCTATGAAGTGATTTTGGTCACACTACACTTTATAACAGTAGTTATTGAAAAGATTTTCTATAAAAATTCACAGAAATTAATCAAAGCATATTTAATCAAAATAACAGTTGTAGTACAACAAAGAGGAGCCCATTGATGTGTGAAGTGATTTTGGTTACACTACATTGCATGACGTTGAAGCTATTGAATATTGTTGTAGTAGGTATTTTCCGCATTGCACTTTGTAGACGGTCCCTGAGCACTCGTCTCGCAGCCGGACGCTCATTGAGACCAATGCTGTTTGTCCAGCTCGGAGGTACCCGTAAGACGGCCCGTTTTAATTAAATTAAGGTTGTAGCTTGTTGTCTACCTCACTACGTTTACAGGGAGGTATCGTTTGTATTTTAGCAACGTTTCGTTAACGATGTATTGAACCGGGAAGTCCGAATCTTTCAATATCTTTCTAACTTTACCTAAGTGGCTCGGTTAGGGTGGGTACGGCTAATAATGCTACCACAACAACAGAGTTGTCTCAAAAGCACAGCACCAACCCTCCAGTTAACATTTCCCTTCAATAACCAATGTGTAAACACGTGTTTGTCAATATTATAATATGATAGAAACGGATTTAGCTAAGATACTTTATTCATTGATTTAATAATATATTTTATTTACTGCATCTCTCGTTCCGCTGGCTAGTCATGGCGGTAATGTGTCTCTAAGATGGTTTGCCAGCCGCCAACGAGCACTAAAGAAGAAGAAGAAGAAACCGACGCTATGCATTGTGGGATATAGTATAAGTAAGATCTATGGTAAGATGGAGGCGGCAACTAAGAGCATGTCGAAGACACTATAACACATTATTAAGTGTTATACGTCCGTATATGGCTACAATGTATGTGTTGTTGTAACAATTACTAAAGATATAAGTGGCTACAAGATCGCAGCTGGACCCGGAAGCTGGTAACGTTAATGTCCTCAATACTTCATCTGATGTAGCTAACGTGCTAGCTAAAGCTAAGGGTCAATGTAAAGATAGTTTAAAGCTAGCGTTGTGTTTGATAGCAACGTTGAAAACATAGATAATGCGCATCGGATAACTACTTTGCCTGAGTAAACTGAATACCGTTCATGTGAAGATGACAGTTATTGTGTAATTGTAGGAAACATGTCTGTTCTGGGAACTTTACTGAAAGCTGGAGCGTCCTTCTGTCAGTCTGCTGGGACTCTGCTAAACACAGCCAGGACCTTTTCAACTGGTGAGTAGCCACACATTTTTGTTTTTGTGTCCAACATGATTTGGACACAGTAGTTGCCTTTTAACTTTGCATGACCATCAATTAAATGACAATTGTGGCTGCAATTCACCTGTTTTGCACTGAATATCTTTTCAAGATAATAACAATAAAGTGCAACCTGTGCAAAACAAAACAAAATGAGTGCAGATATGTGTGAGCCATATGCTCACACATATCTGGAGCATTTTATTTTAAATATGAGCTTTAAAAATTCTGAAAGTAAAATAATAGCTGTGATAATAGCCAGTCAATAACTGTGACTGGCTGTGGTCATCACAGTGAACAGTGTCTGGCAGTGTGATGAGAGGACACGTGAGCCCTTGTTGCTGTAGTTCATCTCCTTGGAGCAGAGGCTGCATTTAGCATACCCTGCCTTATCAATGTATTTAAAATACTGTGACAGCGGGAAGCTGTACTCGCGTCTGTTTAGACCTCCACCTTTATCCAGGCCCAGCTCCACTCACATCTCAGCCCTGCATCAAGCTGCGCTACACAACCAGCCTCCTCTTCCTGAAGCTCTTTGACCTCATCATCTCATCAGTATCTGGGCCTTTCATTCTACTTTGAGTTAAAACAAACAACCTGCCAGCAGATCCGCCGTTGTTCGGGTTTAACGTTAACGAGTGACCGCCTGAGAAAAAACAACTCCACTGATCTACACGATTGACGTGGATGATATATTTTGATTCAAAACGCGAATTTTGCCGAAAAGCGACAAGTTTGCAGGTATGAATAAAGTTCTTGAAATAAAAAAATTCTACATTTACCCCTGCGCCCCACCTGCAATACCGCTGCGCCCCACTAGAGGGACGCGCCCCACAGTTTGAGAACCACTGACCTAATGCAACACTAGTATAATCATGAATCAAAATGAACTATTTTCAGTCATAAACAAGCAGAGGAGAGTATTTAATCACCTGAGGCCAGTTTACTTAGTTTTGCCTCCTCATAGATGTACATTCATAAGTTTGTTAGTTCTACAAAATTTGACATTAAACAATTTTATGTTGACTAATCAGTTAATCTGGTGATTGCAGCAGAACTAACTACTATATCTGTGGAAAAAATGCTGAATACTGACGTGAAACAATGTGCTTTCTTTAGGGACATGCTGTCGGATAAGGATGCATGCCATCCCTCAGCTGAAGACGGTGGACAGGTGGACTGAGAAGAGGAGCATGTTTGGAGTTTATGATAACATAGGCATCTTAGGTAACGGTCCTCAAGTAGTTAAAGCCTATTTGAGATTGTGGAATTTGTTTATTTAGGTTTTATTGAATAAAGACAGTTTTTCTTTAACTTTCTCAGTATGCAATAAAAACGTTAGGCTGTGGATCCAGATGTTTTAATGTGATTTAGTTAATTAACCACAGTCATGGCCAAAGCCATGTGTCATGATTACATTTTTTTTTTTGAAGGCCTGAATTGAGAATCTGCGTGCATAGAGTCTAATACATTCTTAACAACTGCCGAAGAAGTCCTCAGGAGACTATTTAAAAACATACATTGAGCTTGAGCACTGGCTCAGATCGTACCTTGATGAGTTTTCTGATCTCCACACTTTTGTGCCTGCAGGGAACTTTATCGCTCATCCCAAAGACCTCATTGTGGCTCCCTGCTGGGTGAAGGCTTTCACGGGCAACGAACTGCAGCGTCTAATTAGGAAGAAGAAGATGGTGGGAGACAGAATGATGACTCTGGACAGACACAACTTGGAGAAGAGGATCCGCTTCCTCTACAGACGCTTCAACCGCACTGGCAAACGGCGTTAACGTTGAACAAACCATACTGGCAAATACATCTGAACAGCCAATGAGGACTGGAGCTTTGTGAAGCTGTGATTTCATGCTGTCAAAGTGCTGTCAGGAATATTTCTTTTAAGTTATCAAATTCATATAAAGAGAGAGAGATGTTTCAGAGCAGCATTCTTCCTGTTCTTTGCTTTATTGATTCAACAATGGATTTTCCTGACAAACACATTCATAGTAATGGATACATCTGAGTGGTTATAAGATAATTAAAAATGAGAAAGAGAAAAACACATGCATCTGCTACAAATCGATCTTATTATTTGAGAAGTATTTCTAAACTTAGCTTTTTATTGTGAAAGACTGAATAATTAAAGCTCGTCTGGCCACCACATAGGCATATGCAACCTGTGAAAAAAATGCTTTGATTTTAAGGATCAGAAGTTAAAAAGTTTGTGAAACACCGGTCTAAATGTCATTGTACACTCTAGCATTAAGATTTTCATTAAATTAGACTAATGGGTCTTGCCTAAAACATGAAAAACAGCCACACACCCAAAGTACACAAACGTATGTAGAAAAGTGTCAATATACTTCTGGCCGAAAAGTGTATCTGATGTCTTTCTTTCTCTGAAGATGGTCGTATTTTTTGGTATGTTTTGTTTCTCACGGCTGACTTCGCTCCTCTCGCCTTTCAAATATGAGAGTTGAGACTGAAAATGAACAAAGAGGAAGATGTAGCTCAACTGGGACTTTACTAGGAATTAAACAAGAGTAATTGCAAAAGCAAATGTTATGCAGAAGGAGGGGAGGGATTGGGAGAAACGGTTGAGTTGAACACTGCACCAAGATTCCCGAGGTCCTGACGGTCAGCTAGAGGTCTTCACTGAAGGAACTGACAGAAATATTTAAAATTGATTTTTTTACCTTATTTGGACGACATGAAAGGGTTTTTTTCAGACCTAAAAGAACCTTGCCTAAAAACGTAGTCTAAAAATGGCAATATGTTTTAAATCAGGAACTATCCGATCAAAGTACTAAACAAGACCCTACATTCAATACTCACCCAAGCCACAGAAAAATATCAGCCAGTACCCTTAAAGTAGGGAGGTTTGACACCCAGCACAAGTTTCTGTGAATTCATGTAATCGGGACATACAGTGAACCGAAATATTTCATTCCTTCAAAAACACAATAATTTACATTTCCTCAACAATTTCACATTGTAGGATATGTAGTGAATGATTTATATTCTGCATTTGCAACCTTTCAGAAATATCAAATCTAGAGTCCCTATACATCGTCCCTTCCTCATATAGTAAATCTGGGTCACACAACAGCCTGTGGCTCAGGTGTTTCATCACTGACTGCAGTACATCTGGGATTCTGTCCACCGTCAAGTAGTGCTGAAACGATTTATCAACAGAAAATTGTAAACAATTTTTTTTTATAGCAGATTAGTAGTTTAAGTCATAAATTGGGGGAAAGCACCCCCAAAACTTTAGTCCCAGCTTCTCAAAAATCAGGATTTGCTGCTTTTCCTGATGCAGTTAATTGAATATCTTTGGGGTTTGGACTCATAACAAAACAAGCAATTTGACGACATCGTCTTAGGCTCTGAATTTTTATCAATATTCTGACATTGTATTGACAAAAATTAGCCAACGATGAAAATGTACTTAATAATTTGCTTTGAGTTATTAATTTATTCTCTTAATTAGTTTGTTAAAAGAATCATCAAATTCATCGATGATGAAAACACCTCTTTGTTTCTGCCTTATGTATGAAGAAATAACCAAAGCAACCAAGTAAAAACTGTGCACAAAATGTATAATTATGAAACTTCTGTGAAATGAGCCCATCAGAGATGTTTTAATGTCCGGTGGCCATTATTTATTTATTATTGATTGAATAAATTATCTCAATCTCACATTTATCACCTTTTAAATTACAATTTTAAACACATGTAAGAAGCTGTAAGATACTGTAATGTTAGTAATTAAAGTGGAGACAGAAATGGAAAATGAATGCTATGTTATTAATGCTGTACATGAACTTCATGCCACCCCTGCATAAGTTGGTGCCCCATTTGGGTCACCCCAGTCCAAAAAGTGTGGTCACGCCACTGCACGAGTAGGCATCCTCTGTACCGCAGTGTCGTCCCGCCGCTCTATCCGACAAAGAGCTGCAGTACTGCAAAGTGTAAAGGGAGCGAGAGAGAGAGGAGAGAGAGGGGTGAGGGAGGGAGGGGGTTCCGCACTGTCGTTACGAGTCCAAGTGAAGGCAGGAGGAGAGACGCATTAATGCAGTAGCCTACAGTGCCACAGCACTTTACACGGGCGAAACTACCGCACTTCCCTCGAGACGCACAGAGAGAAAAAGCGAGCTAGAGAGAGGGAGGTGGGGGGTAACAGAAATCCAAGAGAGAGAACTGATTTCTCATGACTGGACTTTTTCTTTTTTCCCCCTTAATTTTGAAATTGCACGCATTTGCCATTAGCTTTTAGAAGAGGCAACTCAACAACCAGCCAATCAGCGCTGCGTCTCCGCATCCAGGAGCAGGTCTATAAGGACTCCGCATCAACTGCATGCATCCCTGCAGGATTTATAAACATCCGTGGATTTCGTTTGAATGGATTATAATTTAGAAGTACTTTTGTCTTGAGCTCAGCATCGCTCTCCTTCACTTCCTGCTTTCTAGTCCAGTCACTCAGTGAATTATCGCCCGGCCCGGTTACGTGTCTCAGTATATTGCGGTACTTTGTTGACGACTTGCAGTGTAAATGCATCGCTAGAAGATCGGCTCCACTGCGCAAAGACCCGCAGTCTGTTTACTGTCAGCGCGCCACTTTAATTACTTTGCTGATTGTACATTTTGACTTTTTAGACCAGTGCCTAGACATTTTCGTCTGTTTTTTTTCCCTGTCATCTTGCTGTTTTCTTTTTCCTTCCCCCCCTTGTGGTACTTCAGACCCTCCCTCTCCACCTCAGATCCCTCACCCCTCCTCCGCTGCCCGTGAGTCAGTTCAAACAGCTGCATAGAAGATGTGAGTATGAATGCGGCGTTTCTGCTGCGCTCTTTTCACATTAGCAAAATAAAAAATATATAGATCTTATTAAGCTTCTATGGATAAATAGCCTATATATTCAAACCACTGTATTGCCTTGTATGTTGTCCCATGGTGGGGGTTGGAAACTGATTTATTTCCGCTTGATGGAATTTGCTGACGCAAGTGAAATTTTCCGTTACACCATCACTAAATTATGTATTCAGGGGTTGATTGCTGCTACTGTAAAACCTTAGAGTTGAATTGAGTTTGTTGTGGTAATTTTACACCACAGTTTAAAAAAGAAGAGTACATTTGTTACTCAGCATATTGTGAGTCAGAGGATTTGAGGTCACCATCATCACTTGCTCATGTCAAATGTCATGTCAAATGATGGTTCATGAGGTTAAGACATGCTTGTGTGCAAAATGATTTTTTTGTCCTGCAGTGACTGTGATTTGTACTAAACTGTCCATCTGGAAAATTACCTTCATTTTCTCCTTGACCTGTGAATCTTTTTCTACATGCTCTCTACATGCCATAAACATGCCTCAGTTAACCTAAAAGGTCCCCTTTATCACAACTTCAATTAACTTTCCCCTTCCCTGTGCTTTTTCTCAGGTCTGCCCCGGATGCTGCTGCAGGTGGAGCCCCTGGTGCTCCAGGAGCCCCTGGTGCCGATGGAGCCCCAGGCGGTGTCCCTCCTGGCCCACCCAATACTTCCAGCAACCGCAGGCTACAGCAGACACAGGCCCAAGTCGAGGAGGTGAGCCGGACGAGGCCAGACTAGGATTCTGGGCCAAAGTTTGATGTTAGATGCAATGTCAAATCATTAAATATCTGGATTTAATGTATGCACAACATTATTCATTGTTGCTTTATGTTATCTGGAAAGGTCTGGTCTTCATATAGAATCTGTAAATGGACTACTTACTTACTCTCATTTTTTGTCTCTCCTCTCCATCGCTGCTAAATGCTGTCTCATCCTGGCCACTGTGGGCTAGGTGGTGGATATCATGCGGGTGAATGTAGACAAGGTTTTGGAAAGGGACCAGAAGCTTTCAGAGCTGGATGACAGAGCGGATGCTCTCCAAGCCGGAGCCTCCCAGTTTGAAAGCTGCGCAGCTCAGCTAAAGAACAAGTACTGGTGGAAGAACTGCAAGGTGAGCACATTAGTGTGGCTCCATTTAGCACATTGTTGTTACTGAAAGCAACTCAGAATGTAACCCAAGTCTGAATTAACAGTATTCGTATGTGGTGCATATAGATATATAGTATGTCGATAGAGCTAGTATTCTGGATAAGATCCTCAGCTCATCTATTTGAACACATTGAACAACTGTTCGTGCTGAGGTGCGCTGGGGCGAACACAGTGTCTGTTCTGGGGAATCCTGCTGTCCACACACTCATCTGTTAATGAGCTGCTGTGGAAGCAGATCCTTTGGGGAAAAAGGGGGAAATAATTCTGTTACTGTAGAGTTTTCACTACAGACTCAGTGTGTATTAAACATTTTGTGTTGTTGGTCAGATGCGATTCCTTTCGGTTTGCAGGCATTGAACCTCACACATTGTTACAGTGTGTCTAAAATTCCTTTATAAAAAAAAACAACCTGTGATAGTAAATGTTATCGTTTTCTCCTCTCAGATGATGATCATGATGGGTATCATTGGAGTCATTGTGGTTGGAATACTATTCTGTAAGTAGCATCTTGATACTAATACAATATTGCTCTATTTATTGACAGACAGATGATTTGTAGGCTTTTCTAAACATTATTTTAAAAAGCAGATGATCCTTAAGTGTTTTTCTCTCAGCAACAGAGGAACAGATATACGAAGAAAAGGATTCTCTGTAGATGGCAATTGCTCATATGGTGTTAATCACTTTACGATAGTTGATGACAAAGTAGTGCTGTTAATTAAGATACAGAGACAGCACCAACATATGTATATGTCTGCCCTGCATGCTTCTACTCTGATTGTTGATGACACATGACGTCTAATTACAGTAAATAATGGTTATAATACTAATTGAACCTGTTCATCTTTATCAAAAACAATCCTGTAAACATTACAAAAGACCAAGAGCTCAGCTGACTGTTCTCTCCTTTTTCTATTTTGAGTGACGTATTGCCAGATCCATTAGACTCATGACTTCCTCTCCCTCTCTCCTTCATTTGCAGTGTACTTCTTCTACTGAGCGCAGCCCATCAATACAGATGGATATGGACTTAAGAATGATACGAGAGGGAAGAGGGAAAAAAAAAAAGATACCCAAGCGCCACTCCTCCCCTTTTATCCGTCCTCCCTTCTCCTCTTCACACAGTCTTCCATTAAACCATTTTGCACTTCTACATGACGGTAGTGTTTATAGGTGTCTCCGCTCTCTTTGTCCCCCTCTCCCTCCCTTCTAGTTGCTTTCTTCCACTGTTTTGGTGTTAAGGCTCACTCACTCTCTCCCGTCTCTGCACCTCATGTATTATTGAAGGACGCAGCAGGCGGAGTGGAAGAGGAAGGGAAGGAGGGGGAGAGAAAATTCTTGTGACATGGGAACACACAAGGCTAAGCCCTACGAACGGAGCTGTGGGGGTAAATGTAAACGGTACAGATGGTGAATGAGTGCAGGGAGGTTGGTCAAGAGTTTGCAGTCCTTTCTACCCCAGATACGCCAAAGTTTGTTCATATTTTATGTTCTTTTTTGAGAGTCCCACATTTGTAAGTTGATACTGACATGCCTAATTAACACCCCCCTTCTTTCACAACTGCTACCATCATCGCTACTTACTTACACAAGGTCATGTTAGATTAATATTAGGAACATTGTTTGTTGTATGTGCGTGTGTGTATTTGTGATTAAAGCATTCTAGCCAATAGCTTTTTCAGAGTTTAGCTGTTTTTATTAGTAATTTTTTTTGTTTCCTTTCCTGCCTAAATTTCTACAACGTTCAGTAACAACAATGAGGGAAATAAATTTGAAAAGAGACTGTGTGAGAGTATAAGGAAAGGAAGAAGTGTTTCAGGGAATAGTAGTATACATGTTTCCCCTGTATAAATAAGACAAACTTCTGGACTGATAAATAATTATTGATAAAGTAGTTGTATAGCTTGGTTTCACCTTGGTTTTTGTACCACAGGCAGAGGCACAGTAGTAGTGTTATGCTTAGTGGCTGAGTGATATGCACAGCAGGAGAAACTGACAAGCAGCCACTAACAGACAATCTACTGTACACATGAACTGACCCAGAGGAAGGTCTCTTAACTCTGACTTGGACAGAGTCACAGCCATAGACAGACGAATGTGAAGCATCACATTTAAAAAAAACAAAAAACACACAGGTCCAAATGCCAACTTGTTTTGGAAGTTGTGCAAATAAAGTGTTTGTTTGATTGTTGTTTAAATTTACCTGATCTTCAAAAAGCAGGAAAATGAGAGAAAGGACATGATTTAGAAACAAAGAGCCACCTTGGCCATCCTGTCCCCAACCCCGTCACTCACATAAAGACAGACTCACCTGCAGTAAATGCAAAATGAGTTTGTTTATAACTTGCATGGCAAACCGTGTCCATAGTTTTGCCTATTTGTGTGATCTGTGTATCTGCCATTTCTGAATCTAACTGCCGATTGTACATTTTTTTTTTGTTAGTGGTTTCAATGACCTGTGTATAATGTCTTTCTGATCTGATAATTACTGCTTATGCAATGCAATGATGCTCAAGAGTTCGCCAAATGTTAATTTATTAATATTCAGAGACTGCAAACAGCTCCTACTATAGTGAACTGCTAAAACATGTAGTATTGTATGGATAGAACAATAGTGCACATTATGTCAGATTATGCTCCTGAAAATGTGTTTATAAATTCTTTCAGGTTTTTTTGGGGGGGGGGGGGGTTGTTGGATATAAAAGAAAAGCTAGTTTTCTTTTCTTCGGACTGATTTTGAAAGTTGATCAAAATAAAGATGCATAATTGTAGCAGTTAGTTATAATTATCTGATGATATTGTGTAACAATATTATTAGGTAATTACCACATGAGAACATGTTTTGTGATTTGCAACCTGAAAATGCAGTGAGATGATGCAACTGGATTTGCGAAAACAAATGCATGCTTAACACTTTTGCTGATGCCAATAAAGAAATCATCAACAGAACCTTTGTTACAGTCTCTTGACATTTTGAGCGAACTTAGAACTTTTAGAACATTTATTTTTGCAATCTACTCTACTTCAAGTGATACCAGCTTTCTTATTACCATATACAGATTCTTGACTTATCTACAAGAGAGATTTGAATGGTTGCTAGATGTGATACAAGAAATGTATTGATATTGATAATGTCAAATACCTTAAACAATGTTGCAGAGTCACAAAATCCTTCATTGTGAAAAGTAAAATACAAAATGATCACACACAGAAAAGATCCATAAAAACATAGGCTACTTTTAAAAAAAGTGTACCAAATGAAAACAGTGCAAAAGAAAAAAAAGTTTCCAAAAAAAAAAAGTATTACCTCTTAACATCAAAAACGTCTGAGTATAGTTTGTGATTTAAGATTGAATATGTTACAGGTGTGGAAAACCAGGGGGAATCCAGCACAGGGGGCGGATCCCCAAGCTCAGGCTGGGGGATAGAGGGAGTGTTCTATCCGGTTCAGGTGCTGCAGCCACTGGGCACATGGCATCATAGCAGGCATATGTTCACCCAGCTTCTAAGCAGCAGCGGCAGACAGGCTGGGGGGGGAAGACCAGGAGGATCTCCTGAACCACTGGAGATAGGCAGCATCGAACAGGCGTTAATCAACATTTTGAGAGAAGGCTAAAGACCCCAAACGGGAGGAATCTTTAGTTCGAGTTTGACCCCATCCCCTTTACCCCAACCTCTTTAATAAAGGACACTTTAACTGCCTCTGAGTCTCCTGTTTTATTGTGACTCTTGCCGCCACGCCCCCTGGGTTGCCACACAAGCAACAGAAACACAACCTCCAAATTTGCTTACTGCAACTCTACATGAGTAAACTACCACCAACAATACTCAACAGCAAATTTATAAAGCAAACAAGTTATATAGCTAAATAGTAAAATACTGATTTTTTTTCCCCCAAAATTGCATTTTTACAGTTCAGTAGAAGCCTAGTTGAATTAAAAGAACCAGTGATGGCTTCTAAAGAAATCGGTAATAAACTTACAGAATCATAAATGACACAAAGAAAGTCACTCTGGGCTCAGGTTTAAGTCAGGAGTATCTCCTAGAATATAACTTATCTCATGACCTGGTAGAAGAAAAGCAAAGTGATGATCAGAAAACCCAGAACCCACCAATAGGAACCTGTAGAGTGAAAGACACAGGATTAAGGATTTACAGTGTTGTCATTAAGTACAAGATACAGTGCACAATATGTAATGCAAATCCACAATCTCATAGCATGATATTTTGTATTTCTCTGAGCCTCGCAGCGACAGCCACACATTAATACCTTGTTCTGGACTTTCTACGACCAGGCTGACAGAGAGAGGAGCGTCTAGGGCTGGGTGAGACACCCTGCAGGTAATTTCAGTCCCAGGGGAGACAGTGGAAGGCACAGAGAGATGAGATGACAGGGAATAAGTCCCGTCACCATGCTGTCGATGGCTGGACAGAGAGCCCTGATCCGGAAGCACTGTGGGCTCTGTGTCTGTAGGAGAGAGGGACAACCACTCCATCTGAAAGCAGAGAAGTATTAACTGTGAATCAATCTGTCAAACTTTATTAGTATAGCATCTTTCATAAAGGTATACGGTGCAATTCAATGTGCTCAAGAACTCACTGATAAGCTGATATTAAGTCAAATGTAAACAGTAAAACAATTTAAGACTGAGGCACGAAAGAAATAAGAATGTAATAATAAAACTAACAAAACAGATAACAATGGATTCGAGGTAATAAAATGTTTTAAATCGAATAATATTAAATACATTTCCGAAAATATTCCAATCAAAAGCCATGGCTTAAGAGGTAAGTTTAGGTTGAAAGGTATCAACACTTTAATCCTCGACTGCTCCAACAGTTCAGAGCATAAAAACTCAAAGCTGCAAAATCTTTTCGTGAGACTAAAACGAGATTTACCTTAAAAAGACTTCAGAACAAATGTAAATGGATATCATAATTTAGTGAAATCATACAAAAAACATCTTTTCAAATCTGTAATGTAGGAGCTATTTATTAGTTTGTTTGTTTTATTAATAATTATTAGTATTTGTTTTGAGTGCTGATTACTAAAGATATTTGCTTCATTTATTTATTATTTTACTTTGGTAGTTATTCGTTCAGTTTGCTTAGTTTAGCTAGTTGTGTATTTTGTTTATTTTTTGGTTCGTTTTGTAAAAATTGGGCAGCACTAATGGGCACTTCAGGTTTTACACCGGGAGGCAGGTATAGGAAAAGCATGCACCTTGGACGCTCTATAGTTTTTTTACCAGACTAAGAGAGGCAGCATTAGCCCTGATTTTCATCTTCTGTCTGGACAATGGACTTCTTTGATTTTGATTATGGACAAACCATTACACTTAACCTTAATGCCTGGCGGCCATAGTCAGGCAGGTTTATGTATTTCCTATCTCTACTTGTATGACCAATCAGGCTTTGTGGTATTATCAAAAAATGAATGACTAAAGATTTTTGACAAGTTGTTCAGTGGGGGGGAAAAGGAAAACATGGAACATGTGCTGGTTAACAGCGACATCTAAGAGTACACTAGTTACACACCTGAGCATCCAGTGGATAGTAGTTAGCACAGTGGCAGCTCAGCGTCTGGGGGGACTCCGTCTTCAAAACCAATTTCTCCTCTGAGAGTGAAACATGAGGTGGTTCTGAAACAACGAGAAGCACAAAATGAAATGAAAGACATTCAGTGGATTTTTCTGAATGGAGAGATTAGGGTGAAACTTACGATTAACCTGGAGTTGAATGACCTGCTGGGTGTGGAACACGCCAATACTGACGGTACAGATGTAGCTCCCCTCGTCCAAAACCTTCAGCTTGGTCAGAGTCACAGAGGCGTTACCCTCTCCAACAACCTGGGAGGCATCCATGCTTGATCCCCTCCTCTGTTCATGCACTGACGACAGAAAATTCAACAGGAAGTGACAAAACTGTCTCATCTCAACTCACTTGCTCGCTTTGGAGCCTTTGACCAGAGTAAGAAAGCATTTTATTTCACCTACTTAGATCGGTACTGCTCTCTTGTCATCTCCCATTTGTGTATTTTATGCAGTTTTCTGACATTTAGCTGTGGCTGTTAAAAGTAGTCTAGCCTAAGAGCATTTTGAGTCTATGTGCATTTATTTATTCATGAACTTCTATGCCACTGAAGCTACTAATGTACCATCTTCAACATTATCAGTGCTGTCACTCTGAGACACAAGAAGCCGCCCTCACCTAAAGACCCCGTGATAAACCAGAAGAGGTCGGGCACACCTGTTCGCACAGCACTCACCCACTGTGCTCCCTTCTGCGTCATCCAGCCTCGTCTTCATTTCAAGCACTTTCCACCCTTTTCCCCTGTGTTGCAGTCGCCATTCAACGGCCACTTCCTGCGCTAAAGGTATCTCCTGCTGCTTGAAGCCACAGTTGAGGACAACATCGCCTCTTAGAGGGGCAGACACAGACTTTACGTGGGAATAGACCAAGAATATCACTGAGGGGACAGACAGCAAAGACAAAAGCAGAACAAAGTAGTGAGAATGATAGTATGAACGATGGGAACGATTCAATGAGAAGATGAAATGGGATATCAAAAGGAAAGTTCACCCCACAATCAAAAATACATATTTCTCTTATCGGCTGTCCGATATCTCCAAAACTAGGCAACTCACATCAAAACAATCTAGATTTATATAAAAAAAGCACTACAGGTAAGATGAAAAATATGTATTTTTGACTTTGAGGTGAACTGTCCCTTATACACTGGATCTCACACTCAGTCAGAAGAGTTCCCGACTGGCTAAGAGGCAGACCCAGTTGGTTTTGTATGAGGGTCGACTGGTCCTTCTCCACCACCAAGGTCTGCAGAATCAACGCGGTGCTGAACTCAACTCCCTCCACATTAACAGACACCATAAAATAAGCTGATCCTGAACTTTCCTGGGATCCATGAGGAGAGTAACGGCTTATTTCGCACATCACCTCCTGCTCATTGCAGTCCGCGTGGAGCAACACATGTGCATTGGGGATCTCAGGTGATGACACTGTCACAGAGGGATGATAGGAGAAGTTCAACACAAGGTTGTGCTTATATTACACCAAATTTAATACGTAGAGAAGGCAGGGAAAACCTTTAACTTCTAACAGGATGGCGTCCGAGTCAGGGATCGAAGGCGGGACAAACGGAGTGAGTGTTTCGAGGGATTCGTCAGAAGCCACCGGAACGTCTCTTAAGACAAGAGTGGCTGGGGTCCGTGTGAAGTGTGCACCACCTCCCATTCCACCAAGTCCGACTCCCTCCTCCACCAGGGTGCAGGAAAGTACCACATCTGCAACCCCGTCAGCTGGCAAACAAGGGGACACAGTAAAATAGTAAGAGGTTTACCAATTTTAACATTGTGAAAAAGTTTACGTTCTTTAACATAATCAGGTAAACAAGACTGGTAGACTACTATTGAACATAAATAAGAGTAAGGCTTTATTCATGGGTCCATTATGATGTGTTGAATGTTTCCTGGAACAATTATGTAATTTGTTACAAATTATAGGAAAATAAAAAACAGGGTTTTGACAGAGACGTATTGGTTAGTTGTGTTGACATTAAAAGCAATTGTTGATTTCCAGAGGAATTTACTTTAACAAACTGCTCCCTTTAAGTAAATATGAATGCATCGTTCATTAATTACTCAAAACGTATTTTTCATTTGTTTTTAACTGTTAATTAACATGCCTTTAGACAAACTGCGCATTTTTGCGTGTTCAGATGACCTGCTATGCACCGACAAAAATATTCTAGGTTAGACTAGATCCGCAGCTAACTTGATTCAATTAATTTAAGTGTACAAAATGAAGACTGTATTTTCACCTAAAATGTGTGCCAATTCAGCGTTTTTGTCCAGGAAACGTTAAGCTCCATCAGACATCGTGAAATGAATAATGATCTAAAAAGTGTTTTACTGAACGTGACAATCTGACGGTCAATTCATTGCCACTACGTTCATGTCCGTCATTCAGTGCTGCATCAGTATGTAAAGATGAACGCTCTTACCACAAACGCACGTCAGCAAGTATCCAAACAAAACCACTACAATCTCCATCATGGGGTCTCGTTTCGCGGTTTAATAAATTAAGAGTGCTACAGGAAGTGTTTAACGTTCGCAGGCTACAACAACAAAACAAAGTGAAACAACTGCTGAGAACACAAAAGCACCATCGCACTTTCACTTTTGATTTCAACAACTAACAGCAGCTCATTGCATCGCTAGAGGCTGGGTATTTACAGCCTTTCCCTCATCACACGCAAAGGACTGTACGGCAATTACTATGATATCAAATAATCCAAAAGCGAACTATGAGGCAGACGCCAACAGGAGCTTTCTCGCTGTCGGGACCATGCGCATAACGCAGCAGAGGAAGAGAGAAAGCGAAAGGGAGCAGACACGATCGTCCAATGAGAGAGCAGCAGAAGGCGGGTCATTGTGGAAAGGAGCACCAACAATAAGGGCTCTGGTACGATCGTTTTTAAGTTGTAATGTTATTAAGATAGAAAAAGAAGACTGACATTTGTATCTCTACACAATGTACCTCTGTACCTCACCATCACTAAAGGGGAAGATCTGTATGAGCCAAATTATTCTTCCGCATTTGTTTATTTGGTACTTGTTTTGTTCAGCACACCGGGTTTAATTAACATAGTGATGACATATAGTAAATGCAGTTCTCTAGCATCGTCTTGTTGATCCAGTAGTTTGGGACTCTGGTGTAGAGTGCATAACTTCTGTGCATTCAAAACCCCAGCTGACGATCCCAGAGAAGAAGAGAGGAGATGTGTGAATAATCATGCATCAAAAGGCACATTTAAGTTTGTATTATTTAACTTTATTCAAAAAATGCTTTTGGAAAATTTGAATGTGATGACTTTACAATTAGTATGACATTCATTTAATAGTTTTAGGACATTTTTAAATTGTCCAAATCATAATTTGTACTTAATCATTTTATCTAATTTCATAGCTTTTTGTTACATTGAATGCTTTAACATGAAGAAAGAGTATATTTGCAGCAAAATTACTGCAGTTCTCTATTTTTATCATGTTGTCATGAATTACTGTAAATTTCAGTTCTCCTGCATCATCTTGTTGATCCAGTCTATGTAGTTGGCGACTTTGGTATAGACTCCATATCTTCCCGGCTTTCCGCAGTCAATCCCCCAGCTGACGATCCCAGCAGCCCAGAACCGTTGGTTGGTTCTCAGGGCGTAGGGTCCTCCACTGTCACCTTGGCAGGAGTCCTTCCCCCCTTCAGGGACTCCAGCACAAAACATGTTGTTTGTCAGACTCGGTACATTGCTGCTTTTCCTCTTCAACAGAGTGAATGAATTACTGCATGTCTGCTGCATCACCACAGGGAGTTGCAGAAACTTCATCCTATTTGTCAAAATCCGTGTGTTGTTAATTTCTGTTAGTCCAAATCCTGAAACCAGTCTGAAAAAAGTAGAAGAGACAGACATATGGTGAACTCAGCAGAAAAAAGCAAAGCTGTCTAGGAGCTGGGCAAGATTCACATGGTCCACAGCAATGGCCCCTTCCCCACTTCTAGCGCTCCTTGCTCAAATCAAACCCATCTTCTCAACAGTACACCTGTAAAGTTTCGTGACTGCATCTTGCACTGTTGTGACTCTGTCGCAATGACAAAATCTGTCTGCAGAAATATAAACACCTGGCAAAGTACTCAAAACTACATCTGTTGTAGTTCCAACTACAGTCGTTGTCACTAGGACCAGTTTGCCATGATGACACTCACAGACTTACACGGTGAAAACAATACCAGCATTGATTGATTTCACAAAACTTTAAGTGGAGAAGATAAATAAAATAACATAAAATGGATAATACAGCATAATGAAATGAAACCCAGCAGTTGAAAATTTACCCCATCGTGCCAGTGGTGTATGTGGCGCCCACTGCTGGCAAACATATTGGCATAATGGATGAGTTGAATGTGACTGAGTCTTGCATTTTGATCAAGGCAATGTCATTGTTGTACTCTAGATGGTTGGGGTTATTGTATTGAGGGTGAATGTGGATCGAGGCAGCCAACACAGGAGAGCCCAACAGGTTGGCGTCAGTAATTCCCATGAAAATCTGAAAATCAACAGCATAGAAGGAATTAAATGTCAATTGAAAATCACGGAGGCAATGGGCATGCAGATAACACCTATAGTAGCACGCTTACCCGTACGGTCTCTTTTGAAATTGGATTTCCATTTTCCATTAAATTATGAGCTGCAGTCATTATCCAGCGGTCTCCAATCACCATGCCTCCTCCTCTACCTCGAGCTACACTCAGGAGCACTTGCCAGGGGATGGTATTGTCTGGAGCATCACTGCCTCCAATGATCTTTTGATAGGTAGTGATGAGTTTTGTGGGCTGGCCACAAACTGGAGGGATACAGACGTATAGGTATCTAAGTACAGACTTTGTGATCCAATTGAGATATATATTAGCTTTTGCAGGGTTTTATTTTTGCAGTGGAAAGCAATACCTGGTATGCATGTTGGACTGACAACAATATCGTTGTTGGATCTCCACTCTCTGTCTGCCTCACAGGTGTAGACAACTGCAGAGCAGGGAGTTTGATGTTAATCTTTATCTCGAGTGATGAAGAAGTGTACTCCAGAGTGTGTCAGTACACCTTGACATCACTGTTGGATGCGGTTACAGGTGCAACAGAACACATTTTTGAACACACCCATCAGTGATGCTTGGAGGGCAGTGAAAGCTATGTTAAGTTGGTGTTAAGTTACTTGTGACCAGTAGCTTTGCATGTTTTAGCCCATTTACTACAAATCATGTATATGTTATACCACAAGTAACCCTTTTGCTAATAATGTGCTTTAAAAATGTATATAAGTTAATGCTTTTTCATTTCTGCCCTATTGAAAAATCGGTTGAGAGCATTCCGATTGTCTTTCCACAGATCTCAACATCTGCATGCTCTTGCATGCACTAAAAGCACGTGCGGCCGGCCCAGCTATGTCAACACAGCAGAGAGAAGCTCGGATAACATCACACACAGAGGGAGGGCACATTCATTCTCTGCATAGGTCGACATGACTCCAATATATCTCTACAGTTGTTTGCTGCTATATTAATACTCTGAATGTCGTACATTGCTCTTTTAAACTGTATTGCCACGCAATGATAATGTATTTACATAAAAGTTTCAAGAGTCGGCTCATGTAAACCAACAGCTGGTGGGAATTGTAGGATGAATCTCAAACTGTACATCATAGAAGAGTATATATTAACACCTCACCATTTATATCTCCAAGGAGAGAGTAAAATGGTTCGTTACAGTGATACTGGACAACAGAACGGTACTGATTCTGAAGGCCAGACAGGAAGGTCACCCCTCCATTCAGCAAAGGTTTAGGTTCTCCACAATCAATTACTGCAGAAGAACAAAACAAAGACAAATTACTATTTTGCCGGTAAGACTTAAGTTGTAGTTAATCACAATACAGATTCCATTCATTTTTAGAATGGGTGTTATGTCTGAGCTTAAAGATAACATACTGTGACATTCTGGCAGAGGGAGGTGCCACTTTCCATTGCTTTGGCACATGGTAGAGAAACCCTCGACCTCCTCACCGTCCTGACAGAGAAAAGAGAGGAACTGATCAAACATCAGCCAATATCTGTTTTTATATATCGCTCACAATGACAAATAAAGAAGTTCCCTCTGTAGACATTGTAAGAAAGGGGGAAAAAAAGTGAAGTTTCATCTAACCATCATCAGCTTGTATCCTTGTTCACAGCGCACAAAGATGTAGTCTCTGTAGAAATATTCGGTCAAGATAGGAGTGACCCTGCCCTTAGCCACATTACCGGGAAATGGACACTTTACTCCTGGAAACACATGGACAAGCAGACATGTGATTAGCTGCACACATACAGTAACCAACTGTCACCAACTGGTGGAAAATGTTTCGACAATCAATAGCAGTTTAATTGCTCATCGGCTTATTTCTGCTGTCATTCCTCTCTCCCTCACTGTAAGTGCTGTAGTCCAGGCTCCAGCCTTTGCTCAGGCCTTCATCATCAGTGTGGTAGTCCAGTCTGACAGTGTTGGAGTTTGTGACTATCAGACCTGGACTCTTTCCACCACACAGCTTCATGGGCTCTCTGTCTGGGATGGTCAGCTTTAAAGAGAGGAGTGCACAGCTCAATATTTAACATGTCTTTTTATGCTCAGTTTGTTTCCATTTATTTATATAGCGGCTCGTCATTACCTGCAACCAATGATATAGACAGTTTGGGCCTTGCTCAGTGTCCACGCTCTCGATGCGGAAGATGTCAGTGAAGTTAAGAGCGATGGTGAAGCCAGATTTTACATAAATATTGTACTGACAGGACACAGCTTGAGGCGGGGGGTTCGGGTATCCTGGACTGAACAGGTGTCCTTCTAGCTCATCAAATATACCACCGCCGCAGGATACTGGGAAATCGGTAAAGGAACATTCAGGTTAAATTCAATCAGGTGCTTCCTTAATGCTTCCTGGTCAGTGGCCCATTCGTCAGCAGCTTAGCTACCAGCAACCTTGTAACAACATGGCATTGCTAACTTTACTAAGATCTACTGTTCAATAAAGGTTATTAGTTACAGCAGACTCTCTGTTGCTACTCAGATTCTTTGAGAGCTCCCTCAAAGAGAAAATCCTTTTCGGCTAAATCTAATTGTATAACAATTTGTCATAAATGGTCAGTGCCTTGACACAAGCATCCTCGACTGAAATAGACGTTGGATTTGGTCGAAGTAGTTGAACATTGTGTGACAACAGTTTGACTGAGCATTGTTCCCCCTGCCTCTCAGCCGTAATACATACATGCATAACAAGTGTGAATCTGCACAACACTCACACACACAGCTGCGCTGGTCTGGACGAAGCTCGTAGCCGTGATGACAGGCGCAAAGGTATGAGCCAAGGGTGTTGAGGCAGATCTGAGAGCAGAGAGGACCTGAGCCATCCTGAGGTTCTGGCGCAGAACACTCATCTGTGTCTGATAATGAGAGACACGATAAGTTAGTGGGAGGTCGTTCCGTAGTGGAAGAGTGAAGTGACAGGAAATAGATTTCTACCTATTGCCTGGTACTGTGCAGAGAAGCCCACATTCTGATGGCGCTCTGGGTTGTTGTCGTCCGTCTGGAATATCAGGGTGAGTCTGCTGCCTGGAGACAGGATGGGCTGGTTGCCTGGATGATGCCCATCAGCCAAGTTCTCATGGCCACAAAACTTTCCCAGGATCTTTGCATCATAGAGAACCTGAGGGGTCATAAGAGGGATCAAATCTTCATCATGAGGGAAAATTGCTGTGAAAAGGGTTTAATACACCATGCAGCACTTATCAGCAGACAAATCTACGGAGGTTTTTTAGCATCTTTCAGCTCATTGTTTTGGTTGAATGGCTCGCAAGCTTAAGGTTTTGGTTAATTATCACTGCACTGATCGACGTATGATTCAGCAGCAGCTCTGGTAACCCATTGTATGCTACGGCTCAAACGGAAGGCAGTTGGAGACCAATGAACTTTAGCGGCTAAAGAGGCACATACTTCCATCAGGAGTTAGCGACCAAAACAGAGTGAAAAGTACAATAAATATTGGACTAACATATACCTGGTCTGGTGGCCTGAAGCACAACTAATTTAGAAATGTGTTGTTTACAACCCATTGTACTGCGTCCAAGTGGCATTTGAACTTAACTAACATTGTAAACCGTTCTAGTATACATCTGTTTTGGGAAAAGGGGGGTTTGGGGTTAGATTTGACCCCAGTGAGTGACAAAGTTGCTGAGTCGTGAAGTGGAACAAGCGAGACCAAACCTCCAAAAAAGAACATAGTGCTGCCTCCTTGTGAGATTACTACCAGTGAGAGACCACTGTATACCCACCATGATGCAGCTAGTAATACTGAGATACCCTAAAACATATTTTGGCAATAACAGCAAAACATGGAGATGTATGTGTATATAGTTGGTACAAAAAGTGTTCTAGGTTAAGTCGTCAATATTCAAGGCTGAGTCAAGTTGTCTAAACTCGAGTCACACTGTAGTTCAGAACTCAAACACCACAACACTGGTCTTTTGTTTGTTTCATATGTGTTGAAAAATAGCTCTGACTGTGAGGGCGTCGTAATAGCAGCCTGCAGAAGCTTCAATGTCCAGGTGTGTGAAGGTGATTTGGATCTGGTAGCCCTCGGGCACACTGAGGTCCCACTGCTCCTGCAGGTTGGGAGGGTAAGGCTGGGGATACTGGGGGGACTGGACCGCCCCATGCATTAGAGGCTCTGGATCAGGCAGCCGCCGGCACTCACAAACTGACACATACAGAAACCTGGAAAGGTGCAGGGACAGAGAGAGTTCGATCTGTTTATCAGTTTGTGGCCGTCTGAGCCGCTGGTCCAAAGTTAATGCAAACAGAGAAAACAAACAGAGTGATGCAATCAACACTGCAGTATAATACTGTTGAGGGTTTACATATGTGGCATGCTGAGAGCCAGATCCCTCAGTCAACCTATTAAACACTGCTCATTTCATATTGGTTGTACAGAAGATCCAAAATCAAATAAGAAATAGCGCCGCAATGACAGCAGGTATTTACGGTGAATTTTGGAATCAAGTTAGAAATTCACAAGAAAAACAATTTCATCCCAACAAACAAATGGGTTTTAAAGTCCATCGAAACTTACAAGATGATACAGAAAGTCCACCCCATCTCTGGATTAAATGTTATATCTGAGCGTGAACTGATCCGCTGCTGCAGGAGCAAATGCTTCACCTTCAAGTGAAACACTAATGTCACAAAGTCTGTAATTTCCAGTGTTTAGCAACTCACTGTGTTGATGCCAGGAATAAGCCTTGTTTGTCTTGGCAAAAACAAACGAGCTCTTGACTTTGAATTGTAGAAAAACAGGATCGATGCTGCAAATAATTCCTTTAAAATAGAGAATTAGGAAGATGTTGTTATATAGACATCTCCAATTAAATGCAAACTCATCTTATCTCCTTCATTTTAGATTATCTATTGAGAATAACTTTATTTAATAAACTTCTCAGGTCCCATTTTTTTTTAACTTTGGCTCCTTCGCCCATAAACCTCATTATATCACTAGAGGGCGCTATTACACTTGTTTCTGCATCTGCAAAGAAGCAAATGTTGGTGAAAAATTTGGGTATGAAAACATTGCGTGAAGCAGCTGATTGAGACAAATAAATACAGGGCATTATAATAAAAAAAAGAGAAAATTATATGAAATTGTGTTTGTTGCCATCTATGAACATTTCTTGCATACAGTTCTTCCAGGCTGTTGGTGTAAACATGACTATGTTTTAGTCCACATATATAAATTAAGATAACTGTTCCAGCTGAATTGTTTCGTTTTAAAACATAGCAACAACATGAGTTATTGACGTTATTGTTTTACATGTGGGGGCATTTTTGCCTGATGAAATGCTTTATCAGTGAAACACAGCACTGAAAAGTATTTCGTTTTTCAGTGCTGAGTGAAAGGCAAACGTATAAATTATGAAATAAACATTAAAATATTAAGTATTCCAGTGTATGGGGATCCCTGATGGAAAACGTGTTTTTGTGTGTATCTGATGATTAACAGACAAAATTACAGTACATTATTAAATTGGTTGAAAAAGACATTCTCTGCAGTTGATTTGCAAATTCCTTTAATACAAAAGGGAAGTATAAAGTAACAATGTGATCATGACATAATGGTATTAATATTGGTACATTTGATTTCAAGATTGTGGTCTTTATTTTCAAAAACATTTATTTTTAAGATACCTGAATCAGTCCTGAAATTGATTACATTATTATGTTTAGTAGAAAAGTATTGTCTCCCTCATCTTTCCTCTTTCTAAGCCTTTTCTATTGCATCTATTGTCTGCTTAATCCAGTCCACATAACTAGCCACCTTGGTATAATAACCCTTGTACTTCTTGTGTTGACAGGGGGGTCCCCAGGACACAATGCCAGTCAGACGATATGGCGCACTGCCTTCAGTCAACATAGGCGAAACAAACGGACCTCCACTGTCTTTCTGGCAGCTGTCCTTTCCATCTGCTCCAGCACAGAACATGTTATTAGTGAAAGTCATGCGTTTGTTAGTTGTAGGTGTGAACGGTGTATCCTGACAATTTGCAAGGGAGTAGGCCCCAATATGAGCGTATTTTAACAGAGCAGACGTGTGGAAACGCATGTTTGATTCTGTTATCCCCCAGCCTGACACTGTGCCTAGCTCATTTTCCAACAGGACCCTGTTTACCTCTGGCAGACAAATGGGAAGGAGGTTTGGGCCTAAATCCACCCTGGAAGCTAATCTAATAAGAGCAATATCATTGTCAAAATTGGAGCGTTCTACAAGAGGAATGCCTTTGATGTAGTCGGGATGAATTATGATCCTCTCACTGTCCATGACAACTACATTAGAAAACCTTTTTGATATCGTTCTTCCATCTACCAGTCCACCATACAGTCTCAAAGAGGTTTCCTCTGCCGTTTCCACGACATGAGCTGCTGTGACAGCCCATCGGTCATTGATCAATGATGCTCCTCCTCTGTTCGGCTCTTTAATCAAAAGATGCCACGGTATCTCTCCCATGTTTGCATCCTCACCTCCCAAAATTCTGGCTGCACGGTGGTTTTCAGGCTTTCCGCACACTGAAATACACAGGAAGTCATCAATAGATTCATGTGATTCAGAATTAGCTAATATGAGAAAATGTGAGAAATAGATTTAAGGTCGTACCTTCAATGCATTTTGGCATCTCTGTCTTGCCTCCACCTGATACCCATTCACCACGGGGACTGCAAGTGTACAAGTCTGAAAGATTGAAGAGAGCATTTTGGTGAAACATTGACTGATTAATAAAACCAGAAAACCTTGCATTCTTAAAAGCTAGTCAAGGAAAGGAATCAGAAAATGGATGTGTACAAGCTTCTTATAATCACCATCTCCTTCCAGTGTGTAGTACTTTGAGCTGCAGTTAAACTGAAGCTGGTCTTTATACTGAGTGTGTGGGTTATCTGAGCCCACCAACTGAAGGATGCCATCTTCTGGGATATCAGGAAATCCACAATCCACAGCTACACATGGACGGGGAGGCGCACACTCACAGGGGGGGGGGGGGGGGGCAGGAGGGAGAGGAAGGAGG